TAGTCCACCAACTGATGGAAACATAATGAGAAAGAATCATATAAGTGTAGTAAATCGATGTTACACATAGTAATGCGATATGGGGAAAAGAGAGCCCCATGCGATGTAATAAAACAAGCAAGCGATGACAGCGTAGAGAATTGTAATAATGGAGCATCACATAGTAGTGTAATAAGGATGTAATATTTTTCCTTATCACTTTAAATAAATACGCAAAGACAGCGACGTCAATCGTCCGTTGATTGTATTATTGATGGCTACCAATGTAGTCCACGAACTGATGCACTGCCTTGGGAAGACAGAGGTTAAGGAGAATTATCAGAGAGGATTTTGTTGATAATTTGGAGCGAAGTTAGCAGAGCTTGGAGTAGTAAGGTTAGGTCTGGGATGATTAATACTTTGTCTCATTATTGACGATTGTAATCTACGAACTGATGGACTGCCTTGTGTAAGGATTCTGCTGCGCACGTAGATTATACAACGTATAGGCACTATCTCGAGGCGAATGTAATCCGATACGCGCGGCGAGCACGACGCGCCGAAAAACGTTTGACGATCGCAAACCGTTGGCGATGCCATTCGAGTATCGGACGCCGAAGAAAGTACACGTGCCTTTACTTTACGCAATTCAGTTTTACTTTCCTTTACGTTCACTCCTGATTCCGGTACACTTTGGAAGATAAAGGTTAAGTAAGGAGAATTCTCAGGAAGGATTTTTCTGATAATTTGAAGCGAAGTTAGCAGTTTGGAGTAGTAAGGCTAGGTCTGGGATGATTGATACTTTGGCTCATTATTGAGGAATGTAGTCCACGAACTGGTGGACTGACATGGGAAGACAGAGGTTAGGTAGCGAGAATTCTCAGGGAGGATTGTTTTGATAGTTTGAAGCAAAGTTAGCAGAGCTTGGAATAGTAGGGTTAGGTCTGGGATAATTGATACTTTGGATCATTATGAACGAATGTAGTCTACGACAGTGATGGGCAAAACCCTAGGCTTCGAATAAATCTG